ATTCAAACCAAATCGACACAGACTAGTTTTCACTCCCCCTACCCTGGCCTCTCCCTACAGATGCAGTTCATTTTTATAATCCCTTTAGGGTCTGCAGGTTCCTTTTGATATAAGGAAACTAATGTTTTTACAGTTGAATCCAAATTAAATTCCTAAGTTTTTCCCTACTGGCGATTTCTAATAAAATGCAATCCTGAGGAAACTTGACCATCAGAGTACAAATGAGACTCACATTTTTTCGGGAGTGTGATGGAAATCCCGGAGGCAGAAGGGCCAAGCCTTGATACTGGGAATGGGAAAACTTGGGTTCCAGCCTCCTGGTTCTACCACGGTCCTACTGTGGGGGCCATTACCTTTATCAGTTCAATTTCCTCATCTGTAAAATGAGGCCACAACAACTAGATGATTGCTAATGTTTCTTCCTGCTGTAAAAGTCTCTGTTCTGAAAGACAGGTCTGCGTAGTTGGCCAAGTGAGCTACCACTGTGAGCTAATGAACATAACATAATTGAACTCTCCAGATCTCAGAGAATCTTCACGTGCCCTGGGTTTTATTGAAACATAAATGTCCCCGGGGCTTCTAATGTGTAAAAGGATAGTCACCAACATATAAGGCCAGGTTTAAGGCCAAGGATAGGAGAGTTTCTAAGAGAAGGAGCAGACAAGCAGAGATTACTTGAACTTGAAGATGAGTGAGAAGCAAGTTCAAATGTTCCTTTGTCACTCACTTAGTGAGGGCTTGAAGTAGCTTGCCTCATTTTAGGAGGTCCTAGGTTCCTCCTATCTTGAAAATGAGGGCAGTTCTCCTGTTACAGGAGGCCAGGGAAGCACGCAGGTGGGTTGAAAACACAGCTAATATAAAAGCCCCAGGACAGAGGGGAGCTTCTCATAGGGTCTTGGATGGGAGTGATTAACAGAATCTTGAGTGGAACTCCCTCCTCCCTTCTTTCTCTACTTCTTTACCGGAGATTGAACCAGGGTCTTCACACTGAGATACATCCCTGGCCCTTTTAAAAACGTTTTTATAGACAAGGTCTCGATACATCATTAAGTTGCTCAGGTGGGGCTCAAACTTACCGTGATCCTGCTTCAACCTGGCAGAGTGCAGGGATTACAGGCATGTGCCGCCACACCCAGTGGAGCTTGTTCTTTCTGTCCTTTCCCCATCAGCTAGAATGCATGTCAGTGACATAGTGATTGTAAAAGGTAGGCTGTGCAAAGAAAGCAAAGGCCTTTGGCTAATTAACCAGAGAATAAATTCAGTTTTGAGTGGTCAGTGGTATTTATATCTTTCAAATGCAGCAAATCACATTATATCCTGGAGGAAAAAAGCTGGAAAACCATCCTAACTTGTTAAGAGTGGTGAATCCTTGACTTGAGCCTTTTGGTTCAGTTTCTCAAAAACGAAGATGGGTTTTTCATGCTGATTGGACCAATTCATCCTGTCCTCATCACTGTGAATAAACTCAGATTGTTTGGAAAAATAATATGATGATTAACTCAGGTTCAGGCTCAGGCATTTCTTTGTGGGCCCTGGAGTCCTTTTTTCCTTTGGAAAACAAGCCTGGAAGTGTAAAGATACATCAGATCATCAGGGGACAGACATATATGCTCCTGTAGCCTCTGCAGGGCTCATGGGTTCAAGCACAACCTGCCTGAATCATAAGAACGTTAATTGAGTAGATAAAGAGGTCCTCATAATTATAAACTGCAGTAGGTATAACAAGAGGCTAAATACATAGCTGAGGTTTTAATTAGCTGGTGCTTCAAATTAGTAATGTTGGTTTCAGTCAGAAATCAGTGACGTTGCACTCTGAAACTTTGTCGCCGTGTAGTTCATTCCTCATTAGACCTCACCGTGTGAAGCTTTCAATATAATGTCATGCTGAGCAGGAAAGGAGAAAGTTGAAGCTATTTGGTTGCCTTCCAAGAGCAGTGGAGCTCTATGGGAAGTAGATTCATTCTCATCAGAGAAAGGAGAATTAACTGTACTTTGCTTGATGTGTTAAAAAATGTAACAGGCAGTTTTGCTTGCAACAGATAACACCTGCGTGCACATGCAATCTGCTATTTAAATTTGTGTCTGAAATTTGGTAGCTTATGAAGTGATCCAAAACGCAGTTGAGAGCCTCCTCACAAGTCAAAGCCATGTCTAAAGCTCTGGAAGTGCTACTGCTGGCCGGTCACATGCTTGTCATGCAAGTTGAAGCATGTTTCTTCTTCTCCTTTTTTTCCTTAGCCTTTTTAATTATATCTTTCCCTTCGAGGAGGGAGAAGGTAGTTTGCAAAGCCCAGAGACCAAAGCACCTCAGTTCTTTTCACTGGAGAATTAAATGTGATCTATGGGCCTGTCATTCGGAGCTGTCAGGTGCATGAAATGAACAGATAGCTAGGAAACTGACATCTTGCTCACATTCCTGGAAAGCAAGGACTTTGGTTGTTGTTTGTGTGTGGCGAGTCATCTGCCCTGGGAGCAAAGAAATTAAGTAGCATTCTTTGCAACAAATTCCCTTTCCTTCTCCCCTGCTGAGTATTGCTTTAACTTGTTACTCCGCCCCACCTCGGATACCCTATCTTTCCTTCATTTTGACAAATTGATGGGCTTGGACTCTCTGGCTGATATGTGTGGTGTTTAGGTGCACTCTCATGTTCCACGCTTAATGGACTGAAGATGTGACTATGCCTGCTTCATTCTCCATCAGCCTCTGACACAAAGCCCCTGGCACATGGCTACAGTTTAGGGCTCTGATCTCAACTCATGAATGAAATGAAAGACAATACTAGAAAGCAATACTGCCATGGAAGGCATCTTAGACTAAAAATGGCAAGGCCACCTTCTGTGGCCTGGATTTGGCATCTTTCTGATTAAGTATGGCCCAGATGTCTGGTTGGAGATTTAGCGAGGTGTCTGGCACTTTTCTTTGCTGTCTTCATGGAGTGCTAATACTTATAGAACGTACTCATGAATGGCCTATAAAGGACTATATGTTTAGCATTGTCTGTACTGTGAAAGCGGGTGTGTGTCTCTATACCCTTGAAGAGTTACCATTGTTTTAAAATGGACAAATGGAGGCTGTTTATCCAGCAGATATGGCTGGCAGTGACACTTTGAATTTGACAGGTCAAGGATTCCTATGAAGAAAGGTGGATGATTTAAGGTCAGTGGCATCCTATATTCCTTGTATATCAACATTTAATTAAACTGCATAGATAGTGCATACTGAGCTGGGCGTGGTGGTGTACACCTGTAATCCCAGCACTTGGGAGGC